CTTTCTCTTTTCTTTTTCAATTGTAAATAGAAGGAATACAAAGTTTTATGAAAGATGAAAGAAACAAGAGTAAAAGTTCAAGTGAAGTGTGTGGTTAACTTCAAAGGAGAGGAGACTCTTTTATAGCTCTTGCGAGAGAACGATTTGTGTGCTCTGAAAGGAAACTTAAGGGAGTTTCATTCAATCAAGAATTTGTAATGATTCCTTGATTAAGTGTCGATGATAGAGTACGTCCATATTAGATATGTGCGTACTCTTTTTCTTCTGCGTTGATTATTCCTCAGCTGATTTGATTTTCAAGATATAGAGATCTTCAATCTTCTGTCATGAGATTTTAAGGATCTTCTTTTCTTTTATGTGTTACTCAATCTTGACTCTTTATCATCTTCCCTTGTGGCAGTCTTAATCTTCTCCTTGTAGACAGCTTGATTTGTCCACGACTTCAATGAATTTCTTGATTCTTCATGCAATAGTTATTTGTCATAATTAAAACATTTGTATTGAACCTATCACCCTCTTCTTCTCCTTATGTACACTAGTATCTACAAACAAATAATATCATTTTGTGCCACAGTTATATTTCTATCATTATTACATGCATGTATAATTGTAGGAGAAAGTTTAGGAAGCAAATTGTTTTCATATTGACAAAAATCAAAAAGAGCTTTTTTCACAATATCATTGGGTTTAGAAATTTCCCCATTGAAACTCTTTGAATTTCTTGCATGATACTTAATTTTATAAGCTTAATAGAATTAGAATATTGTTTAGCATTAGTAAAAAGATCATTTCACAATGTAGCAACATCCATATTATTTTTTAAATCAGACCAATTAATGGGACAAATTTTCCAAACTAATTGAGTATCAGGACACCTTTTTTTTTTTGGTTTAAGTTTTGGATATTTTATTCATAGCTTCCAAAATCAAAACAAGAAACGTACCAGGACACCTAAAAAGCATGTGATCAATAATTTATCGTCTAGCTTAGAGAAAATGATCAAAATGGTCCTTGATGTATTGAGGTTACTTTATTTTGGTCCTTAATATATTTTAGGTGATTGAAATAGTCTTTCATGTATAACAAAATGTGTTCTAGTCTTTTACCCTAAACTTAACAATTTATCCCCAAAAACTGTTAAATATAACTGTGGGGCCCACATAACTTACAAAATCCACCATTTTTACCATCTTTTATTAGCTCAAAGAAAGAGTTTCATGACCATTTTCTCTAACATCTAACCACACAATTCACAAAATAATTATTGTAAAAAGGTTGAATGAAATGGATCATCAAGAATTTTATTTGTCGGTAGAACGTAACCAAGATAGAAAATTAAGTTAATTGTATAATCTAGGAATTGAATGGTATAATATTTGCATTTACGTTGTTCTTGGTACTTTTCTATATACATGATTGCTTTTGTTAATCTATTGATATTTCTTTAATTTCCTTTGGTTATAATCCTCTTTTGTTTATTGTTTATTTTTAAAAAAAATTGTCTGGAGTGATTAATTCTCCAGAAAGGTCAACATGTGGGATGGTGGAGATTTTTGGTGGGTTATCTAGAACAAGTTTTACTTTGTGTATTTTTATTTTTTTATTTTATTTTTTTTGTTATGGTGTCATATACTTTTTTTTTTTAATTAAAAGATATAAATAGAGATAAGTACAAGTAAGGGGGGCTCGGCCTTACCTTACTAATCCTAATGAAACAACAAATTTCTACTAATTAACAAGCATGAAGAAAAAAAGAACTAGAGAAAACTAGGTATTCTATGATCATCATGAAGTTTATAATACTCTTTATGATGATATTACAAATGAAGATGATTAAGTAATGCAAGAATATAAAATCTAAGAATAAAGATGAGTTAGCCACCTCAAAGTTCATTTGATATATGTATGAACTAAAACAAATAGTTTGCCCGACTAAAGTAATCTGAAGTTTTTGCCTCTTGTCTTCTTCAAATCTGTCCAAAAATAATTTATAGTTTCATCACTTTTTTGGATTTGTTGGATCTTGATAAAGTTGTTGACACTGTCATATGATTTTGCTTTGCTAGTCGCATCTGTAGGTGCCTTGGAATTCACTCACCTTACCATCCCAACTATGTTGTCTTCCATGTGTCTTCTTTTTGCATTTGGTGCTTCCACTTCTTTGTTGTCTAGGTGAAAGGTCCCCCTCCTTAGCCACCTTATCAAAGCATATATTCAACATTTCTTCATCATCATCTTCATGATCTTCATCGTCTCCATCAGACATGTCATTGCCCAAGTCATAAAGAATATCTCTATCTGCCACGTTTACTTTTGTAGCACTCAAGTTAGATGATGTACCTATGACTGCCATCGATGGATTTGTTTTACTTGTAGGCACAAATTCAAGTGCTTGAGGGCTTAACTTACTCCTACTAGGTGAAGGAGTATGATTCTCTTCCTCAACTAAATCTGCCCATCTTGAAGCACTCCCCACCCCTCGTTTTTCCTTAGATTCATTCAAATTGTTTGTAGCCACCTCTTAATCTAAAATAAACACGGTAGGTGTATTTGGATTGATTTCCTTGCCATCTACCTTCTCCGTAACAATGAACTCCTTTTCATGTGTCACAAGAGCTTGCTGATTAGTATGCTCATCGTGACAACATTGTTTCAACTTTCCTGTTTGCTCAATCTGCTTGTCCAAGTCTAAAGTATTCCCAGATTCAGCAGATAATTCATCTGTAACATGTAGCCCTTCATATTGTCCAAACTTCTCATCTCGCAACACATCAAACTGAGTACATTCAACGACATTATTACTCCTATCAAACTCAACATGTGTAGAATTTTTTTGGTGCAAAATGTGATTATTTGAGGACTTAGAGCCAGCCGTTTTTTTATGTGAGACCAAAGTCCATTGATTACTGGATTTTTCTGCTGTAGTGTTACCTTTTTTGGCTTCATCTTGCCTTGATTTAGTAACCACGACTGCATTAGGTGAATCCAACTCACTATCTTTCACAAATCTAGACGATAACTGCTCTGTAGCGAATTGTGATGTAATGATCAACTGCCTTGAGTTATTATCTACATTATTTTGTGCCTCAACATCAATATGGACAGGAGTGGACGAACTCGTTGTGGTCGTACCAAGTTGCTCACTAATCTTCGAAGTCAGTGTCCCAGGTAACATAGTTTCTGTATCTTCTTTGTTCCCAGATGTTGCAGCAACAAGTAGGGGACCTGTTTCATCAACTCTTTCCATACTATTTTTTTCAGAATTGGAAGAAGTTGGTAATGTTACCTCTTTTCCAGTTTGTTGAAGAGAAAGAACTTTCTTTTTCTCATCCAAAATTGATCGCAAATCTCCTTCGAACTTTGCCCCATTAATTTTTGTTTCATCAATTAGTCCACCTTCTACCTCCATAGTCAGTCTGCATTCTTCCTCCTTGTGACCCTGATGTTTACATGTTGTGCAGTACGAAGGCAGTTTGTCATAGACAATTTTTTGCAACACCTCTTTAACGACACCATTTTTTTCATCTTTAAAAAACATTCTAACTCTATCCGGAAGCGATGATAATAGATTAACCTCTATTTTTACCCTAGCTACACTAGGCCTTGACTTACCCATTGTTGCCTTATCAACCTGTAGGGGTGTCCCAACGGCTGATGCAAGTGAGAACAGGGCTTCACGAGCAAACATCAGTGTTGACAAACTCGGAAAAGAAATCCAAGCTAAAGCAATTGATGTCTCCTCTTTTGGATTAAACCATGGTGTCCACCGTTGAATCCGACATTGGTATTGATTATTCATGCCCTTTTCTTTTATTGTGATGAATGATACTACCCTAGAGTACACCTCCACAAAGTCTTCCTGATTCGATAATCTTACCAGAACATGACGATGATCCAGTAAACCTAAATTGCAACCTCATTTGATTGCAAAGTGTCGTGTAAAACTCTTTCTAAGATCAATCATATCGGGTCTCCCATAAGAAAACTTAGCAACAAGAGCATATTGCAAGTTTTCTTCTTGGATATACGATTCCAAATCCAAAAAGTTGAAACTCACAGTAGGTTCCCCATGAACATAGATCACAGGTTTTAATTTTAGTGGAAGTTTTCCATCAGATTTTTGAGTGTAAGTCGATGGATTAGAAATAGACGCATAACTAGGTTTTTCTGGCGTCTCGTCCACAGCTCGAGGCTGAGGAGAGACTGTTTCGGCCATGGAGGCCTAAAACTCCATAGGAGTCTCCTAGTGTGAGAAGAGGCTAGCGTAGGGTTTTTGAATTTCATGTTATTGGGGTTATTGCTGTGAATTTTTGGTATCGTCCTTGTTTGGTTGTTGATAAGTGGGTTCTACTAGATTTAATTTTTGGTATTTCTGACTGAAGTAGCTATGTAACTTGTGTATTCATTCCTGATGTGGCTCTGCGATTGATGAATGGGACAAGATTCAGTGTATGAGTTTGGGTTCTTCTTTGTGTGAAGTTATGCTATGCTGTGTTGGTTCTGTCTTGTGATTGTAAATGCTAATATGGCTGGTATTGCATTTGTTCTTGATAAAATAGTGTTAGATTTTGAAATAATAAATTAAGAAGAGAAAAATAGTGGATTTGTAAATTATGTGGGGTTCACCGTTATATTTAACATTTTTTGGGACAAATTTGTTAAATTTAGGGTAAAGGATCAAATTGAATATATTTTGTCATACATGAATGACTATTTCAATCGCCTAGAATATATTAAGGACCAAAATAAAGCAACCCCTATACATGAAGGACCATTTTGATCATTTCCTCTCTAGCTTACCTAATTCTTTTTTATTTCTCTTCTCCCCTTTTCCTCTTCTGATTTTAGAGAAACTTATGTTGTATATATGTTGGCAATCAAATTCTTCTAGTCAATTTTCAAATTTAGTCAACAAATTGAGTCAATAGATCACTATATATATTCAATAAGTGAATAGTATATTGTAAAGTCAGATAATTAAAGTAAAATTACATGAGAAAGAACAAAACACTCCAAATTATTATTTATATAATCTCACTAAGAGGCACCTTATTTATAATACAAATATTAGAACTCTGTTACATATGCAGCAAATCACAATCTTTTTCAATACTAACGTTATCCTACCATACATAAGAAGAGCAAATAATGTGTATACATAGCTATATTTAAATTTCTTTTTCATAATTGAATTGGAATCTAAGCACTTGCAATTGGATCACTTTCCATTGCCTTCATTGCTTCAAATCTTGGCTCTTTGGCTTGAAACTTAAGTCCAGCATATAACTTCATGTAATCATCAAACACAAACTTTGGATAAACTTGTGTACTTTCCTCTGCCTCTTTTTCAACCAAAGTTTTTGCTGGATATATTACTGCATCACTTCCTGGATTGTAAAATGAGGCTAGTGACATTCGTGTCCCGTCTGTTTGTGCAATCACTCTGTGCATCACACTCTTGTACTTCCCGTTGGTGATCACCTGTTTTCACATTTCATAAATACCATTTTTAGTACAACTTCTAAGTTATAGTGAGAAAAGCACACACACTTAGTGAATCTTGTACCTCAAGTTGGTCACCAAGGTTAACCACAATAGAGTGGCGCATGGGAGGAACATCGATCCATTGCTCGTCTTTGAGGAGTTGAAGGCCACTCACTTTGTCATCTTGGAATAGAAGTATGATGCCACCAGCGTCTGTATGAGCGCGGAGTCCCTTTATCAAATCAGGCTTAGGACATGGTGGATAGTTGCTAACTTTAGTCCCAAAATTGGGACCTTTTGATCCATAAAAGGCATTTTTCAAGTAACCTTTTTCAAGTCCAAGATTTTCACATAGCAAGTCAAGTAACTCCTCTGCCAATTTCTCCAATCTTTTAGCAAAATCTCTCATTACCTCTCTGCATCATTTGGGACAACATTATAATTAGTGTTATGGTGACTATTATACTTAGTTATACTTTCACTTAAATTGTGTGTTTGTTTAATTTATACTCGATATGTAGGACACATGTATGTACCTGTATTCGCCATCAAGATCGGGTACTTGAGAGATATTAGAAGTAGGAAGATGGCGCAAGAAGAATGTGCTTTCCCAATCTAAATCAGTAACCTCAGCTTGAACAGCTTCAAGACCTTTGCTTGCTACCAATTCTTTGAACCTCTGTTCCATGCACTTCTTGTAATGTCCCTTTGTCATTTTATCTACTGTGTCCATTACTTCATGTGGAATTCCATGGTTCACCAACTACAATTATGACATAAGCAAACAAAATTACTATTCCCCGTTTCAGTTTATGTGTCTTAGTTTGACTAGTCATTGAATTCAAGAAATTAAGAAAGACTTTTGAGTCATGTGACTGAAGTTATGTGTAATGTATCAAAATGTCATTTATATCTTGTGGTGTTATAAACATGTCATGCAAATTATTAAATATAGGAAGTGACATTAATTTTAAAACAGACTAAAGAGAAAAATATGACAGATAAATTGAAATAGACAGAGTAATATGTTTATGTTAACTATAATTACCTCAAAGAAGCCCCAATTCTCACAAGCATCTTTAATCATTTCCATGGTGTTGGCTCTCTCATCTCCATTGAGCTTTTCCAAGTTAATAATTGGGAAGTTCTCCATCTTAATTTCTTGGTAAGGTGTATAGGTGCTTTTCTAAGAGTATTAAATAAATAGAATATGTGAATATGAATACAAAAGATTGAAGAGATGAATATTAATGTTTGATGTACAAATAATGAGGCTTTGAAAGGGTATTTATAGTAGAAGAAATCAAGAAAGTTGAGAATTATAGCTTAAACAAAATAATTACTTATTATATTCCAAGTCTCCATGACAAGTCTATAAGTCCAAGTCTACCTTATGAGTCATAGTTCCTTGTTGAACCATCTTACCTACAAAGGGATTTTGGGATCAAGACAAATTGGAAAAGGACCTATTTTGACCATAATACATGGTGGCTTATGGGCCATGGCTGCAATAGTACTAAAAATTTATTGCGCTTTTGTTTCATGTGTTAATTTTTAATTTCTTTTAGGACACTTTGACTAGGATGCTACTATGTAGTAGTACTTGAGGTCAGGAAGTTGCCTTGAATTTTACAATAATCTTTAAGGCTGCCCATTTCACTAGTTACAAAAAAGTACTGTATGAAATTTCCTAGAGATAGCCTAGGGCTTGTCAGTATTGATGAAGATAATTTAAAATATAAAGAAGGAAATATAAGAAATAGTGAAGGGAATATGATATTCATCATATATTTATAAAAATAATTTTAATTTTTATACAATATAGTTTTTCGATAAAAAAGTGAAATTCTGCGTCATAGATAAAACATTTTATGCTTATCTTAGCACTTAAGACATAGGCAAATCACGAATATATTGTTCTTTTTATAGATTCAACCCATCGAACTCAATATTTTTGAGATGTAATATATTATATGTAACAATTCACTAACATTTAATAAATTTAAATTCTAAATTTATAATTTTAAAGGTGTAATGAGCACTAAAATCCTAAAATTGAATCTATCAAATTTAAATTTTGAATATGTATTTGGACTCAGAATATACTGAAGTCTTATTCGATGAAATGGGGAGAATTTGAACTCTTTATATGATCTTTGCAACCTTTTAAACGAGATTCAAGACTGCATTAGATTTGTCCATTTCTTTTAACATGATATCAGAATGGATATGAGTGAAAAATGATATATAATTAGACATTGAAATCATGAGTTCTAAAATTATATTCTTAAGTTATTACTGATCCTCATTTAATTAATATTGTTGACTTGGATATTGTTAGACTTTGAACAGGTCATACTAGCTGTGTATTTTTGCTTTGTCATCCATTTGGTTCATCAGACAAACTTTACCTAATTAATTGTGAAAATTCATGATCTAACTAATTTTCCTTATAAAAATCAAGCTTATGCACATGCAAGCTTGGCTTAGATAATAATAATAACAACATTAGTAATTAAGACACCCAATTTGACTTTTTCTTAATTATTTTTATTGGGTGTGATTAATGAGGCTTTATTTTTAAGTTAATCTTTGTAATTCTATTTATTTAATTGCAAATCTCTGAGTAGAACATTCTACATGAGAATGAATATACTATAAGACCAAGAAAAAAATCTATTGGAATTTTCTTTATAGAAGGAAAAGGGGAAAAAAAGAGTGAAGGAGTATTTTGGTCCATCATTTATTGATATATTTTTGACGAAAATATTTGTGATATTTGACTAAGTATATTTAATTTTCAATTAATTAAGATATTGTCACTTTTGATCACTTTGCTATATTCACAAATATACCATCATTGCCAATGGTATATACAGAAATATACCATCATTACATTTTTGTACTAAAATGTAAGGTAGCGTTTACTAATAGATTTTGGGAGTGGATTATAAAATTTATCAAAATGTTAATTTGATCACTTTTTAAAATTTTGTTCTTCAAATATGTTTAGATTATTATAATATAAATTCAATAACTTAAAAATATTATAATCTAAAATTCATAAGCTTTAAATACTGATTATATTTTACGTATCATTGTTTTACATCTATTTAACATTTTTGGAGAAATAAAAACAAAATAAAGATGTTGCAACTAGTCAAGGGACAGTGTGGAATTTTTTATTTTTTTTTGGAAGAATGGGCCAATAGGGAGGTCACTAGAATATTCTATGTTATAGGGCCATAACATGCATTGTTGACTGCCACAAAAAATATTAATCATATGTTTTTTACCTCAATTTTCTTTCCTTTATTTTTATGTAAGTATTCGTAGACAATTTGATTTTGTTAGACAACATTGAAACGAAATTAGGAGGGTAAAAAATTATTCATAAAGTTAAAGTGTTAAAATAAATTTATTGGACAATATCAAAGAGATTTTATGTATTTTCTCTTTTCTTTTTACGGTAAAGCAAATTCACTCTTCTTCGTGTTTGGCACAATGGATAATTTTTTTCAAAAGAAACTTCTTTCACTATTCAATATTATCTAAAAATAAAAAAAATTGTTTCAAATTAATTAATAAAGAAAAAATATTTTTTTAAAAAAACATATTTTCCCTTTTAATGAAAACATAGTTTGGTGTTTGTCTATGAAAAAAACTACTTATTTCCTTTCTCCAACAAATTGGCCCCTGATCTTGAGTAACTTCATTATTGTGATGGAAATAAAGGACCTTAATCTTATTCAATTTTTAGTCTCCGTTCATATAATCACTTCTTATATCTCATTTTAAATATTGTTCTAGTTTAATTTGTATTTATATGCTCATTCAGAAAGTATTAATAAATACAATATATAATTTAATAAGTTAATATTATATTTGATAAACACAAATTATTATTTTTTAAATAGTGTGCATTCTTCTTTGATATTAAGGTTATAATTCAAAATAACTGTCAAATTTAATCATAAATTTATAAAATAACAATTATTTTAAGATAATTATTTTGAGCTAAAGTGACTTTTTAATTTGAGAGTACCTTATATCTTGATATGAGGGGAACTTACTTAAATTTCACTAGTTTAATTAGGAGCTAATTACTTAGATACACTTTAATTTGCAATATTATGTATCTTATCAGATTATGGTGCTTCTAGATACATCCAGGTATACGTATCTTGGGATACATACGGTCAAAATTAGGTGTAATTTGTTCTAGATACATTGTATCCAAATTGATTCATATGTATCTGAGATACATAATAAATCTCGCTTGCCTTCCTCGCATATCTCTCATCTCACTGCCAGTCTGCCACTCTCCTAATTTGTATGGTATCCCAGTTAGGCAGTTACATGAGAATCACACTAGATATGATCAAATGATTTGGTGACGTAATGGATTTTGAAATACTATTTCCGCATTTCCCCTCGTGTGCTTTGGAACCCTACTCAATTAAATGAATATAATTACGTGAAGCAGCATAATTAGTGCTAACCTGATTTAAGAAAAGTGAAGAAATTAAACTTAGGCTATTTTGCGTCACGTATCTGTACGTAGAACTAAACACGAGGTGTACATACGTGAAAATAGATTAAAATGATAATTATACGGCATCTCACAATAAAATCACACAAAATCAAAAGGAACTTTGTTACGAAAACAACCAAAAATTCCTAGTTTGAATTTCTTTATTTAGAGTATATAGTCGGGATGAACCTAAATTATTTGATTCACGAGGGAGCTATCTCCATTTTTCGTCATTCATATTTATTCGTCTTAATCTTGTTTCGGGGATTCAATCTTTTAATTTGCGGAGTAAAGGTGTAGATGAAAATTAAGCACGTCACCTTGCAATTCAAAAAATAAAAAAAAATAAATAAATAATTAGTGATGGAATTATGAAAATGACCCCTATTAAAATTCATTCATAAACTTCATATATTCATTCATCCATTGCCTTAACTTGCAAAACATGATTCTTGATATCCCCATGTGTGTTTATGCAATGTTTTTCGAGTTTCGTGTTAAAATTTGAGATTTATTATTGCATGTGCATTGAATACATATATATCTAAATAAAACATTACATTAAACAATTAAAATGATTTGTTTTCTCACTATCATGTGAAAATTTTGTTTTTGTTTATTTGTACCGCTTACTTGTCCTTGAACTGTTTATTTATTTCCACTTACTCCCTTTGTCCTTAATTACTTGTTTACTTTTCCATTTTTAGTTGTTCCTAATTATTTGTCTATTTTGACAAATCAAGAATTTTTTTTACCTATTATATCCTCAATTAATTACTTTGAAAAAGATAGAACTTCTTGAAAATCTTAAGTTTTTAATTCATCCACTTCATAATTAATAGGGGTAAAATGGTAAACTCACTATGTTAATAATTGTTTTCTTATTAGGTGTGTCAATTCAAAAGTGAACAAGAAATTACGTACAGAGGGAGTATTTATTAGTAGCTAGCTATCTTGTTCCCACTTATATAATACTATAATAGTGCTTCCTTTGTCCCTAATTACTTGTCCATTTTTGAATTGGTGCACCTATTAAGAAAACATTTATTGACATAGTGAGTTTACCATTTTACCCCTATTAATTATGAAGTGCATAATTAAAATTTAAGATTTTCAAGAAGTTCTACCTTTTTCAAAGTAATTAATTGAGGGTATAATAGGTAAAAAGAAATTGTCCTTTCTTGATTTGTCAAAATGGACAAGTAATTAGGGACAACTAGAAAAGGAAAAGTGGACAAATAATTAGGGACAGATGGAGTAGTAAATAGTTTTCTTAATAATTTCTAAATAAGATTAGCGATATATTTTCTTCCACCATCTATATTATGTACTCATTTTTATTTGTCCACTTTAAATTTTGTTCACTTTTTAAATTAATGATTGATATGAGTATTTTATCACAATATTCATATTGATTGATATATAATCTTAGATTTTAAAAAAAAATTGTGAATAAGTAATTAATAAGCAAGGCTAAACGGGTTGTTTAAACAAAGGACAGAGAAAATTTAGTTATAACAATTGTGTGCTATTTTTGTCGATTGAGAAAAGACAAAAAAAATTCTTGAAAATCAGTGTTTCATCGTGAAAATTAAAAATTTAATTTGAAGTTATGGTTCAAATTGTTAAAAAAATTTAATATTATTGGGTTCCGTGCATAGCACGAATTATCGTCACTAATTTCAATTACACTCTGTTTGGATCATTGTATTATATTGTATTGTTAT